AGAGAAGCGAAAGCCATATTGCTTTTTCTTGCAAGAAAACCCAGCCATGTGGGATGCTGAACCGATCCAGAATTAATAAGAACGACTATTTAAATTGTTCGGACTATCATCGTAATCTTTGTTGCCATATTTATCACAACGTTTCGGCCGTTGTATGCTCCCGCCTTCTTCAGGTGGTTGGAATGTCGAATTGAACCCTTTATTTCGCTTGCTGGAGTAGACTCTTCTAGTTCCACGTGCCATGTCTAATGGATATCAGTTATAAGTTATCTCCTGTTAATTCCCCTCTCCAAATTCCCCACCGCTTTAACCAGGTATTGAACTCACACTCTTTGGGTTTTGTCACTGGATCTAACTAACGCCTTTATCCACTGTGCCAGACGGGGATTAACAGGAGATAACTGATAACTGACATCTGCATCTACAGCAGCAGATATACCTTTCACAATGTATTGTTAATACAGATGTAAAATCAACGGATGTGAAATGACGTTAAAATTTCAGAAAATGAATATTCAGTCCGTCTGCCAACAGTCCTATGTTAATTCACGAGACCTAGCCATAAGTCGACAAATCTCAGAGCAGAAGTGATGTATGTCTGGGTATTTTCAGGACGTCAAGGTACGATGACGCCGTCTGCCATTACCTTAACATCCACCATTCACATAACTTTTGACACGTCATTATATAATATCCGGCGTTGCTTTATAACTGAAAAAGTTGCATATTTTCCGTCAATCGATGTTGGCATCTCAGTCCAGGCAATGAATTGAATTTCGAATATTGACTTTTCAGACAAAGCATTTATTTGTTATATAGTGGCGCAGTAAAATTGCCATAATTTAATTTTCTCCCCAGGCTCTTTGTCGCACTATAATAATGACTAGCCACTTGTATCTGAGGATGCCCGTCTATTTGGGCGGCTTGCCAATCCTTGTTGCAGACATCTAATCAGGCACATTTGTGTTTATTCAACCCCCACATGGTTTATACCGCTAAGCGGACCTTAATTACAATTTCCTGATAGACAGTCTGAACAAGGCCAATGCGCTCAAACTCTCAGTCACGATGACTTATGACTTCGTGTTAGCACAAACATCGACGGCTCCCAAGGATTCCCGCTTTACCGAATTTCACTCACATGTCTTTGGATGTCTTTTAGACACTTTCCAAAGTTGCCACCCACTAGGATCGCTTACTCCAGACCGATAACTTCAAGAAATCATTTTCCTGACAAATCGAGCATAGTGAGATTCGAACCCGTGTCTTATGACCAGAAAGCGAACGTAATTACCAGGTTCCCATACTATGCTCGGCTTCTTACACGATATTAATTGCTTCTGAGATTGTATCCTTTTCATCTTGTCTCCGTAATTTGAAAACTTTATATTTCTTTTTCTGTCTGTGAGAAGACGAAGCTCAAATTGCTGGGACACTGATTATAGGAACGTGGGTCAAACTACTTGATTAGTCCTGAGCTTCGCCTGACAAAGGTACGATAAAGGATATTTATCAATGTCTTGGACGGCTGACAGTGGCATTAATCATGGCAAATGTACAGGAATTATTACATGAGTAGAGACAGGTGAAATATTTCCTCTTTATTTGTTGGGAATTGGTAAAAATAACGTGAATATTTCTACAAGTCTGCGATAAAATTTTCGAACATTATTCAGGAAATTCCTGTATGAATTCCTGAAATGAAAAGTCATTATGTCCATTCGTACTAACCTCTTTATCTTCGTCGTTAGCACCTCAAAGTTTCGACCTTCTGGTAAAAATGTATCCTGGTAATTTTTACTCATAGATTCAGTTATGCTTACGTCTGATAAATAAAGAACAAATGCAGCTTAATTTAATTCAAATAATAGAATCGATGAAATTCTTGAATACGGTACAAAATAATCTATTTAGTTACTCTTTGCATGTTTTTTTTTTTTTTTTTTAAATTTTAGTTGCTTAAGCAAGCGATGTTGATCCTGTTATGGGGTCCACCCCTTTTTACATATAAGTGGACTCTACCAGTGTTACTTGGACTGCCGCCATTAAATACCCAGAGTTAGACAGTCAGTCAGTCAGTGAGTAGAGATAGTAAGAAAACTGAGATTGTGATTGAGTTGGAGGTAGAGTAATAGTGTGAGGTAACCGCTTGTAGAAGTCAGTTACAAGCACGTCGACTCTAAGGAAGTCCTACTTCGAGACTGTATATATCTATATGTTATTGCTACTAACCGCGTTCCTGGATTTACTAACAGTATTACTCATTGTATTATTGTGTAAATACATTTTATTTCTTATCTTTAATACTTGCGTTTGTCATTCATTGGAAACCGAATTTCATCTCGGAACCCACAACAGATCCACACAAAAATAAAACTATTTTTTAGCTTTTCATTTTATTGACTTTTGTTTTTCTGTTTTGTTAAGCGCGTCACCGACACCGATCCCCCCCTCCCACCACAAACATCACTATCCTGCATGTGAAAAATTTGTCTTACACGACACCGGTCTGTGACGAAAAAAGGTTGGTTACACCTTGATTAAGCCACATTGATGTCCGTTGTGAATTTGCTTAAGGTTTAGTCAAATTTGGGTTTTCTGTTAAGTGCTGTACGTGAGACACGTTTGGGCGATTACTTCTCCTTCGACTCAGAAGAGACCAGGCAGGAAATTTTTTCCCGCAGTAGGTTGCCGTTTCATTCTTCTGTAATAGACTGTTTGCCAGCCAATGTTATAGGAACCAATCTATCTTGCTATCCAGTTCATTACTAGGAAAGAGTAAAGATGGGTTTATACCTTTCGCGAGGATATTTACGCCCAAGTGATTGTAATGAAACTCCGATTTTCCACACCCACCCGCTATCTATTACATCACACCTCATATTACTAAAACAAAATATATGACATGAGTAAATTTTGGAAAAATTCTTTTGAAGTATAGTAGTTTATTGATCTGAACCGCTACCACTTTGCCAAAAAGACGTAGATTGCTAATAAGCCGATAGAAGGATCATGTCTCGTAGAGTGTATTGCTCTGCAAATATAATCGGTGAATAATCTTTGTTTTTTCTTTCTTTGTCCTTTTCGATTCTTTTATCTTTTGTTTTTCTCTTTCTCTCGTGATTTACAGTAATCGTAATTATTCGTTAGTCACGAAATCCATTCCCCACTTGACTACTCATGTTTATATAGTTTACGACTGCATTACGTTAAAATAACGGATGTACGATCATCAAGGTTAAGGAACGTCGAGTTTGGCCAGTATCTAGAAGGGTGTTTTCGTAGGAATTTCAGATATTGTAAGATTAGATGTGCAGGTGATGTAATGGATAATGGCTCGGAATTGTTAATCGAAGAGCAAGAGTTCCAATTCCAGTTGGGGTCGCTATCTTCACTTAGTTGCAAAATATTCTTTGGAAAGGTATGAACCCACCTATCCGCACACCCAGCAATGAATCAATTAGTAAGTTTTTTTATCATTAAACCGTTATTATCTCAAAAACAATTCTTACGATCTAAAGATAGTTTCTGACGTTAAATAACCAGCAAAGGAACGAGGAGCCATAAAAACCGAATCAATCAATCAATCAATCATTAAATCAATCAATAAATCTTCTTTTACTGAAGTCAGACAAGGACGGAATGATCCTCTGAATTAACAGTCACGTGTCCAGCACAAAGACTAGGCTAAAAGTTAGGAGACATCGGCTGTAGCTATTCTTCCAAAAGTCAGATTATGCCAAAGCATTTGCTATGCATTTCTTCTGCTATTCTTGAAAGAGTCAAATTTCACCAATGCGTTTGCAACGCATTTCGTCTGCTATTCTTCCAAGAGTCAGATTATGCTACTGCAACTGCTATGTATTTCTTCTGTTGTGACGTCCTTGAGTAATATTTCGCCAATGCATTTGCTATTCCTTTCTTCTTCTATTCTTGCAAGAGTCAGATTATATCAATGAATCTGAAATGCATTTCTTCTGGTATTATTCCAAGAGTCAGATTAGGCCAAGGCATTTCTTCTGCTATTCTCACTGGAGTCACATTAGGAAAACTATTATGCTAAAACTCAGCTTATACCAATGGATTTCCTAAGAATTTCTTCTGCTATTCTGCCAAAAGTCAGATTAGACTAATGAATTTGCAAAGCATTTCTTCTAATATTTTCCAAGAGTCAGATTAGTACAATGCAATCGCCATGCATTTCATCCACTATTCTTCCAAAAGACACATTAGACATTTTTAGGAAAATACATTTGCTATGCATTTCTTCCTCTATTATTCCAAGACTCACATTAGACAAATGTATTTGTTATGCATTTCTTTTACTATTCTGCCAAAGTCAGATTAGATCCATGAAATTCTTCCAAGAGTCAGATTACATCAATGCAATTGCTATGCATTACTTCTTCTATTCTTCCAAGAATCAGATTAGGACAATGCATTTCGTCTGCTATTTTTTCTTAGAATCAGATTAGACCGATGCATCTGGCATGAAATTCTTGTTTTCTTCCAAGAATCTGGTTAGACCAATGTATTTGCTATGCAATTTTTCTGCTCTGCTTCTAAGAGCCACATTAATCCAATGCATTTTTTCAGTTATTCTTCCAATCGTCTCGTTAGGCCAATTAATTTGCTATACATTGCTTCCGCTATTCTTCCATAAGTCATATTAAAGGAATGCATTTCTCCTGCTATTCTTTGAGGAGTCAGATAAAAACAGTGCATTTGCAATGCATCTCTTCTGTTAGTCTTTCAACAGCCAGATGATACCAATGTATTTGTTATGCATCTCTTTTGCTATTCTTCCAAGAAACAGATGAGGACAATGCATTTGCTATGCATTTCACATGTTAATCTTTCAAGAATCAGATTACACCAATGCAATTGCTATGCATTTCTTCTGCTAATCTTGCAAAGGTAACATTAAGCCATAAATATAGTATTTTCTGCTCTCCCTCGGCTAGAGCTTCTCAATTCTTACCCCACAGATATAACAAAATTCAGATTAGGCCAGGCAATCCGTTACGCATTACTTCTGCTTTCTTACAAGAGAGAGAGAGAGAGACTAGGCCATAAAAAAAGAACATCACTGCTCAAAATCGGCTTGAGTTTCTCAATTCTTAATCCCAGCCTGAAGAGTATTCCGAATTGTTTACGTAATCATTTGGATTGTTATCTATTTTTCACTCTGCAATCTCTTTTTTCTCCAAAGACGCAACGTTGAAACCACATCCATTAATTTCTACCAGTTCAGACATTTACAGCCATGAGACCACCATATGATACCAGCACGGAGTTTAATCATCAACATTTCCACCATGTTCCAAATATAAGAATTAAGTTACACAAAAAGTTGCCACCGAGTGCCACTTAGTGAACGACACATTTTCCCTTCCCTAGAATTATGGATATTGACATCTACATGTCAATGGTGTATCACCAACATTACTCTATATCCCCATAATCTTCACTTTCTATCATCTTCTATTTATTTCATATCACACGCCTGGGGGTTGGTAGAGAAACGGTAGGCGTAGCTTAATTTTACAGCTTGGCAATGACATGGAATTTTATATATTGAGGCATTACTGATATTTGCCAAACCCATGCCTCAAGAAAAGTTGACAAAGTTCACTCGAAGTTTCAGTTATTAAATGGACAGAATGTGATAACCTACATAGATAGATAGATAGATACCACATTGAGATAGAGAGATAATAACACAGAGACCGATAGATAGATAGATAGATAACAAATTGAGATAGAGAGATAGATAACACACTGAGATAGATAGATAAATAGATAACATACTGAGATAGATAGATAGATAACATACTAAGATAGATAGAAAACACACTGAGATAGATAGATAGATAGATAGAAAACACACTGAGATAGATAGATAGATAGATAGATAGAAAACACACTGAGATAGATAGATAGATAGATAGAAAACACACTGAGATAGATAGATAGATAGATAGAAAACACACTGAGATAGATAGATAGATAGAAAACACACTGAGATAGATAGAAAACACACTGAGATAGATAGAAAACACACTGAGATAGATAGATAGATAGAAAACACACTGAGATAGATAGACAGATAGATAGAAAACACACTGAGATAGATAGACAGATAGATAGAAAACACACTGAGATAGATAGATAGATAGAAAACACACTGAGATAGATAGATAGATAGATAGAAAACACACTGAGATAGATAGATAGATAGATAGATAGAAAACACACTGAGATAGATAGATAGATAGATAGATAGAAAACACACTGAGATAGATAGATAGATAGATAGATAGATAGATAGAGATAACACACTGAGATAGATAGATATAGATAACACACAGAGTTAGAAAAAAGGGAAAGATTGATAAATAATAACACAATGAAATAGATATTAACAGAGATAGATAGCGAGATAGATATATAATAACAGTGAGATAGATATGAACAGTCAGAGAAAAATAGTTCATATCTATCTATACATCCCTGTTTATTCATATCTATCTCAGTATGTTTATAACTAATGTAGATAAATATGACTACACTGAGATAGATAGATAGGAACAAACTGAGATAGATACATATGAACACACTGAGACAGACAAATATATGTAAACACACTGATATATATATATATATATATATATATATATATGAACATGCTAACACAGGTAAGTATAAACACAGGTAGATATTGAACAAACTGAGATAGATCTATAGATAGCTAGATATGAACGGAGATAGATATAACCAACTTAGATAGATGAACAATCTTAGATATAAAGAGTCTGACATAGATATGAACAATATGTGATAGCATATATGAAAAGAATGAGATATATGCATATACTAATACAATACGTTTGATACTTCCGTGGCTTTGAAGAAAACTGGAGATTTAATCACATAATTTGTCATTTATGAAATATTGTTTGAAGTCATATACATGTGAACTAACTGAGATCGATCGATCGATCGATAGATAGATAGATAGATATGAACATACTGAGACAGAAAGATAGATAGATATATGCAAATTGAGATAGATAGATATGAACACGGATAGATAGATATGAACACAAATAGATAGAAAGATAGTTATTAACAGAATGATATAGATATATACTAATAGAACGGGATTGATACTTGCGTTGCTTTCTAAAGAAATTGGAGATTTAATCACATAATCTTTCATTTATGAAATATTGTTTGAAGTTATGTAGTCTTTCATTTGCAAGCGCGAACCCCACCTTCGCAAAGCGAAGCTCAGGCAATTCATAAATGCTAAATATCGAACGTAGTCTTGCCTCTTGTTTAATTTCAAATCGTCGATATATGATAGCAATTTCAGCAGATTCAATGATGGGAAATGTGAGCACGTCTCAAAATTACATGGTGTTCGTCTTGAATCCGTATTCATTTCTCTTACGAGCTTAGCATCAGATCCCAACATCGCGGTTGGTTAAGAAGGCTCTAATATTACCTTTTATTTAAATCTATTAATTTCGCGTCTGACGACTAGTTTTCGATAAACGGACCACAACATAATTCGGCAGTAATGAATATCCTAACACGCGCTACCCGGGGAAGGAAAGGAAGGGAAAGGAAAGAAAATAAAAAAAGAGAGGAAAACATGAAAATACGCTTCGATTCAACAGAGTGGTAGGAATGTTTGACAATCGATTTATCTGCAAAATTTAAATAGGAAATGCGCGGACGAATTTAACGCATTAAGTGTGAGGGAAAAAACGGAAAGAGATCGTTCACCAAAATTCTTGCAGCCACCCCCGCGAACATTACGAACCTTAAAGTTATTCCCTTAATGCAAACGAAAAACAAATTTCCAATTTTCTGAAGCTCAAAACAATAATAAGAATGCGCGTTAATATATTCGCCCTAAAGCTATAGAATATTCTGTGTGCCTGCCTGTAAATGAACAGAGGATGACCAAATCCTAATTCTTGAGATTCCATATATATATATATATTTTATTATTCTTTATTTTTCTCATTTTTTTTTTTTTTGTGCGTGTGGTAATTGTAAAATGCGAATTCTGTAAACTGTAACGAACGACGAAATTCAAATTTGAACGTTCTTCAAATTGAAGGTTTCAGAATTAAAAAAAAAAAAAAATATTCTCTTTAAAAATGTTCTAATTTTTTGTCGAAGCAAAAAAAAAAAAAAAATTGAATGCAAAAGAAATCTCTAAAAAGTAGCAAACTGTTTTTCTAAATTAAATTTCCCACCAATATAAAAAAAAAAAAAACTACGGTTAGTAAAAATCAAAATTAGTAGTTAAATAGAACGAATATACATAACAGGTAATCGACTGGCTAATTAGCAGAGCTAATGCACGGATTATATAAATGACCAAATAAAGGCACCTCGACGTGGTGTAATGGTTAGAAAGCTTGTCTCGCTAGAACAATTACGACTGAGTAGTGAGTTCGATCCTCACTGGGTGCCTCTTACTTTCGGCCTTGTGCCACATCCAAGCTACGCTTGGAAAATCACTACATAACATGTAATCGACTGGCTAATTAGCAGAACTAATGCACGGATTATATAAATCGCCACGCAAAGGCACATCGACGTGGTGTAATGGTTAAAAAGCATGTCTTGCTAGATCAGTTACGACTGAGTAGTGATTTCGATCCTCACTGGGTGCCCCATACTTTTGACTTTGTGCCACATCTAAACCGCGCTTAGAAAATCACTAGGGCACCTCGGTGTGGTGTAATGCTTAACAAGCTTGTTTTGGTAGATCAGTTGCGACTGAAAAATGAGTTCGATCCTCACTAGGTGCTCCATACATTCGGCCTTGTGCCACATCTAAGCTACGCTTGGAAAATCACTATAAATGATCAAGCAGGAGGGGTAGGGGAGCTCTCAGTATCTGAGTATCGTATACTGACCGGCAAAGAAGGTTTGTTCTTCTGGCAATAATATTCGCACGAGGCCCAGCGGATCACCTCCCGAGGCACTACTTTGAGAGGGCTCTGGATTTATTGGTGTCCACAAATAGGATAAGTGCCGAGAGGGGAGGTGGGGCTTGAACTGACCCTGTGTCAAATTCGGTAGCGACGTGGAAGCACTGAAAAATCAAGCTATCGTTAGCGCCGTAGAAACGAATACCACTGGACTGATAAAATACGAAGTAACTCACACTTCATAACTGCTACAGAATATTTTATCCCCAGATTCAATAAATAAATACCAATTACTACTCCAATCTAACCATCAAGCTCGTTAGACTCTTCCCGTAGGGAAATTGTTACAGCTTATTACTATCAGTAATAATTCAAGTAGGAATCTTCTTCTTAAATATGTCGAACAGACGCTACCAATTGATAAACGAACATAGTGATCATCGCCTGCCCAAGAAATATGACCGCGTTTTTTTTTATAAAGGAAAATATATTCCTTGCTAAGCATTACACCACGAACAGCCCAACGATTTACTAACTGTAACTTAAATGGGGCAAAAGTCCGTAAGAATGGAGAACCCAATTAGGATCGAACTCACTACTTAAACATAACTGATCTATCAAGACAAAATGGCGAACGATTACACCACGTCCACGCGCCCATATTTATTTAGCATAGCGATTTACTAAACGTGGATTAGACGTGACACAAGGCCACAAGTATGAAGTAACCGGTGAGGATTGAACGCACTTCATCTTCTATATTCCATATTTTTCCAGGACGTAGGTGATCATGGCTCTCCACAATTTCTTGTCATTCGTAGTTCTTTATCTTTTTAACATATAATTTAAAACTTTTGGTTTTAAATTCAGTTTAAAATATCCCCGAAACTGCGAATATATATATATATATATTTGATTAAATTATATATAGAGTTAAACAGGAAACATCCTTGCTAATGGCTAATAATTTTTTACACACTCTACCTCCAGAAATGAAATGAATTGTACGAATTTAATGAAAAGTTCAATCGCAGTGCCGTGTCAGTCGTTGTCAATGAAAAGTATATATATATTTATTATTTTATATATATATTATTTTTTTATATATAATTTATATATATATATATATATTAATTTTTTATATGTATATATTTTTTTATTAATTTTTTTATTTTCTAATTAATTTTTTTAATTTTTTATTTTCTTATTGTTCAATATATATATATATATATATATATATATAATTATTTTTTAAAAAATTTATAACATAAATATGTTATAAAATCACTACAAAAATAGCCATTTTGTTTCAACACCCTCGGTGTCTTATCAAGTGATGATGTTGAATGTAAAATAAATGGTTTTAAAAGTTTCAAATTCATTAACGATCCTTCGTAAGGGGAAAACGTTGTTACAAAAGTTAGAATGACCAATCAAACCCAAGTACAGGAAGAATATATATATATATATATATATATGTATATATATATATATATATATATATATATATATATATATATACGTTTCTATATGTATATATATATAAACGTTTCAATATATATATATATATATATATATATATATATATATATATATATATATAAAACGTTTCAATATATATATGTATATTTATAAACGTTTCAGTATATATATATATATATATATATATATATATATAAAGAGAGAGAGAACGAGAGAGAGCGATATTGAACAAACTTAGATATTGAAGAAAATCAGATAGAAAGATAGATATTGAACAAACTTATATAGATATTGAAAAAAAGATAGATATTGAACAAACTGAAATAGATAGAAAGACAGATTATGAACAAACTTACATAGATGGATAGACATTGAACAAATAGAGATAGATTAATTTCCTTCTCTTACACTTCATGTAGCCCACTTGCGTTTTAGGGGCGATATCACCTTATTTAGGTATATTGTCTAAATACACACACACACACACATATATGTATATATATATATTTACAAGTTCTAGTTTTGTTTATAATTTTCCATTTTACTTTTGGTGTTTTATTCATTTCCTTCCAAATGCCAAAAATATTTAATTCATTTCCTTCCAATGCCAAAAATATTTAGCTAGCGATGTCTGATTTCTTTTATTTATATTGTTGAAGGAGCACTTATGCTGCCTCCATCTGGTTTTAAATTCATTCTTTGTGAACCCAATGTATATCATATTAGGACTCTCAATGGATGAGATAGTACATTGGTATACCACAGATTTTACGCGGCATTTATTTTCCAATGGGAAGTCTTCTGGGTTTCTACAATCACATATTTTTTTTGTCTAATTTAAGTGTAGGGTTTTTATTAATACTATTATGGCATGGGGATTTATTCAGGATTTTATTATTGTGTTTTTTTATTCTACTTTCTAAATTTTCAGTGCAGCTGTAACTTAATTTTAGGGTGTTTTTATTAAATATTTTACTAAGTCTACTATTGGTAGGAAAGTGTTTTTCAATTAAAGCTAGGAATTTCTGTCCTAGCTTAATACTTACCATTTAGTTGAACGGAGTGGTATACCAAATGATTTTTCTTTTCCTGTTTTTCTTCTGGTTAGTACAATTGTTTCTATAATTGATGTTAGCATTTTTGTATCCACTATTTTTTAGGGCTGCGTTATAAATATTACTGTGTTTTTGGAATATTTCTTTATTAGCGTAGTTAATGCTGATTCTATTCTCTATTGATGAGGGTATATGTTTAATTATGGATGGATGGTGGTTTGACTTAGTGTGTATATATAAGGGGTTAGTATTAGGTTTTCTATAAGGTAGGTATGTGTTGTTTGTTAAATCTAGAGTTACGCCGAGGAAGTTTACCCTTTTTAATTTAGTACAGACTGTTGTTTTTAAATTTAGATTTCTAAATTCACTATATATAATCTTTGTAATTTTCTCTATTTTAAAATTAGTAGAACTCACTACCACGAGCCCGTCATCTCTATACAGCCCGATGTCCTTAATATCTAATTCACGGTGCGCGGTCAGGTTGTACAGTATTAAAAGACCGACAAGGTCAGAAGACTCTGCAGAATCTAAAGATCCCATAGTGATGTCAAAATGGTCATTATTGTTTTTAATCCATTGGTCCCCATTATGAATGAGGACAGATTTTTTTGCACTGAGAATTATATTTATTTCTTCCTTTGTCAGGTTAGAATACACGGCAGCAAACTCCAGGGCTGTACTGGAGTTTGCTGCTATGTATACTGACATGTTCCGACTGTCCTCACTGCTTGTGAAAATGTGAAAAAAACATCGTAATAATTTCCTTTTGTATATATTTGACTAAACTGTTCGGTGTCACGAATTTGCATAATTATTCGCTGTGTCACATTTTCTTTTTCTTTCGCTAGGCTCGAAACGCGACAAAACATTTTCGTGCCTGGTTCTAATCGGCAATATTTTGATTCTTTATATATATATATATATATATATAGTGAGCGGAAACAGATATTCGTACACATACAAATTTTTAATTTATTATATTGCCAACTAATGAATAATCATACTTTTCATATAATTAACTGTACACAGATGCATAATAACTAAATATGCACAGAAGACAGAAGTTTTTTATTTAATAGAAATGAATCTCATTTATCCATTTTAATGGGTGAAAAAGTATTCGTACAATAAAAATTTTAGAATTTAAAACGTTTAAATTGCTTTA